TGCTAGAAAATGATCTTAGCATTTTCAAAAGCAATTTCAAGCATGCCGTAACTCGTTTTCTCTTTCGTTTTTTAAGAAAAGGTTACATCTTAGCATTTTGATTGGAGTATTTTATTCTAATCCTTAAGAAGAAAGGTTGGCTACTATTAAATTTGTTAAATGAGAATTTAGTTGCTGTTTCAAAATGTCCACCAGTAGGGAGCCAGGGTCCTACTTGGTATTTCAATATATAGACTTGTAGGGGAAACCATTAGGGACCCCAGAAGTTTTCTTGCTTTCCAAATGTGGAAAAGAGGCTCACATATGAGGGTAAGTGATAGAATATAAAACAATTGTTGGTCTAAAATCCTAACAACTTAAACTTCTGGGAATACTGGTAAGCCAAAAGACTTCAACATCAGAAGCATCTTCATTGGCTTGCCATTCCAATCCTTGAGGAAGGCTCATGTGCCGATCAATGCCATACTTTTCTTCTTCTTCATGACTGGTAGGCTTCCAATTCCTAACCAGAGGAGCCAGGATGTTGACCACATAGCCCATCTCTGGTCTTTGGAATGGATTATGAGCAGTGCAATGTCCTGCTAGCTCAGCAACTTTGTATATACACTCCATTTTCTCCTCATCATGGCTCTTAAGAGTTTCGTCAATAGCCTTTGGAATGTTTTCCTTCTTAATAAGGAATCTGCGGAACCATGTAACCAAGAGAGACCTTTCATCGGGAATTGCATCATCTAAGGCCTTCTTCCCACTCAAAAGTTGCATCAACACCACTCCAAATGCATAAACATCTACTCTTGTTGTCACTCGTCCGGTAGCTGATTATAGAAACATAGATTCAGAGACATCAGTTGTCTAGCATAACTACATTACTGCCATAGAGTTCATAAATTCTTGAGAGGTAATAGAAGGGGATTTAAATTTTACTACATGTGTGCTATACTTTTTGAAGGATGAATTAAACCAAATTATGACAATTAGACAATAGTAGCATCAATTCCAAGTGAACTCAACTGTCTGTTTTTCCTTCCTTTTGTGGAGTTCTAAAAACTTGTGAAAATAAGCATAAGATTAGCTTTGAAAATCTGATATCCTTGAAGTTTTTAGGCAATGCTTCTTCATTGTTTCAATTAAGACATGAACATATAAAAAAAATAAGTGTGTTTTTATTCTTCACCTGTATATTCTGGTGCAAGATAACCGAACGTCCCTGCCACCCGAGTCTCAACAGAATTCGCATCAGGGGCATGTTTTACCAAGCCAAAGTCGGCCACCTTGGCCCTCATGTCATCCCCTAGAAGAATGTTAGAGGGTTTTAAGTCTCTATGAATGAAACTTTGTGGAGCTAAGCCATGCAGATATTCAACTCCTCTTGCCACATCCAATGCTATTGTGATTCTCTGCCTCCAAGTAAGAGGAGGTACGCCGTTCTCACGCCAATTAAACAAGTGCTGTGTTAATGTCCCTTGTGGCATGTACTCGTACACCAAAAGCCTCTCATTTCCATTGATGCAGTATCCTAAAAGAGCAACTAGATGCCTATGCTTGACCTTAGCTAGGAATGCAATTTCTGCCTCGAACTCATTCATTCCTTCAGTGCTCACTGCCACACATTCCATCCTTTTAACAGCAATTCTAGTCCCATCATGCAATTCACCTTTGTAAACAACTCCAAATCCTCCTCTCCCCAATATATTATCCTCACTAAAGTTGTTTGTCACTTTTCGAAGAACTTCGATCGAAATTGCAACATTTCCACTCTCAGAAAGATGAAGGCCAGTCTTATCACTTGGGACTCCATTGCACCCATTTTCACTAGCCACTATCCTCACAACATGCTTTTTATTTCCATAACATTTGATGAACACAAACACAAACAAAAGCACCGCAATGAAAATAACAATACCACTAACTATACCAGCAATCATACCAGGAGACACTGAAGAACCACCCGAAGCCGGAGCCGGATTCCCATTGGGTGTAGTTCCATTCGAACCAGACCCGGATGGAGGTCCTCCTCCACCTCCAGAGCTGGGAGTAGTCCCGATCAAGACATTGCCTGTTGTAATTAACTTCACCGTATATGGGAATTGCGGAATTTCCCCAGAAAGATTGTTATTGGAAACATCAAGAAGCTGAAGCTGCGTCAAGGTTAACAAGTTAGCCGGTATCGACCCGGTCAAATTGTTATTCTTCAACACCAAATTTTTCAAAGATGTCAAATTGGCAAAAGCAGGCGAAA